TGGCATAAAAAATAATGAAAAAAAAAAAATGATAAAAAAAAAAAAATAAAAGAAAAAAAAAAGAAAATGTGTTATAGGTTAAAAAAAAAAAAAAAAAAAAAAAAAAAAAGCAAAAAACAAATGCGCACAGGTACAAACAACAAATAACCATGAACATATATGGTATTCGCTGCGATCATCAAGAGCTGGAAAATTTATTTTAGGTTGTTCTTTGTGGTAGGTAGGTTATGGAAGTAAACAAGAAACACACAGCTAAATTTAAAAAACATCATTTTTTTATACTATTTTGGGCCAGTTTTCCATTGATAATAAACAAAAAAATCAGAGATATCCATTACCATTTACCACCAAATAAAAGCCCAATTTGCCTGAAAGAACGCGGTATAATTCACCCTGATGTACAAAGTAGTTTGTGATGATATGTGTGGTTTTACTAACATGATCAAAGTTGCAAAATTGTGCTTAGGCAGTAAGATTTGTTTAACCCTTAGGCGTGAAAGGTTAAGTTTGCATCTATGTACAGTTTGTATACATATTACTAGAGAGGGTGTCAGTTAGTGTCAGTGTGTTATAAGGTAAAAAAAAAAAAGCAAAAAACAAAATGCGCACTATTGTTTCCTGGGCTGTACAACAGGCACAAGCAAACAAAAACAATACACATATATGGTATCGCTGCGGATCATCAAGAGCTGGAAAAATGTATTTTGAGTTGTTCTTTGTTGTAGGTTATGGTATTAACAAGAAACACTCAGCTAAATTTAAAAAAAAACATTTTTTGTACTATTTTAGGCCAGTTTTTCCTTTGAATAATAAAAAAAAAATCAGGAGATATCTATTACCATTTACCACCAAATGAAAGCCCAATTTGTCCTGAAAAAAACGCGGTATAATTCACCTGGATGTACAAAGTATTTGTGAAGATACTGTACAGTTTTACTTAACATGTTAAAATTGCAAAATTGTGCTTAGGCATTAAGATTTGTTTTACTCTTAGGCATGAAGGGGTTAAGTTTTTGCATCTATTGTACAGTTGTATAAATATTACTAGAGATGGTGAAGAGCTAGAGGACCTGTAATGGATTTGCTGGTCATTTACACTTAGAGCCCTTTTATCTCTCTCTTGTCACTCACTCCCTTACAATGTCGCTCTCTGTATTTTTTTTCTCTCTCTCTATTTTGTTTTTTCTTTTTTTATGTTCCATATATTACCCTTACTCTTCTTTGGTATCCTGTAAGCACATAACAGTATATCCAGAGTGGTAGAGCATTTTAGCCAGCAGTGCCTTGGGTGCTAAACCCACCCTCCACATAACTCGCACACAACACATCAGAGGTAGCAGAAGGAATAATGTCTTCAATAATGCAGCAAAGAAAGCCGGATAATAAGCAGTATACATTAAAGGATATCGAGGAGAGAACAAATTATCAATAATTCATTCCATCAGTTATTTACATGGTCAAACACAGCAATTTTATAAAGTGGCTATTGTATAATCTCTTGTGGATTTTGAACTTGCATACCATCCAGTTCTGCAAATGGTGAACAATAAAAGGATCTACAGCCTTTAGAAATGGATATACCCTGGAGGAAAAGTACATGACAGTTTTCACATGCCATCTTTTAATATTTGTATCAACATCCAGTCATCCTCCGACTCGTATCAGAACACATGTCAGGTATCGTTGTGTAGTCCAGGTATGTTTTGTCAGTATAAGGAGCAGGGGCGGACTGACAACTCATGGGGCCCCCGGGCAATAGGGGATCATTGGGCCCAACTGTTTTCTTGCCCAAACTCAAAAAAGCCTATGAAAAAGGTACCAAGGGGCATCTCATAGGGGCCCCCTACTGACCCCGGGCCCTCGGGCAGTGCCCAAGTTTCCAAATGGTCAGTCCACCCCTGGTAAGAGAGTTATGTTCCAGTATAAGATATTCAAATCATTGTAGAGGCAAGCTCAAATGTTACATCCCAACTACACATAGTCATTGAACTGCAAATGTTTATACAGGGAAGATTGGAGCTTTCTAAAATTAAAAAGCAATAGGCAGATGTGCTGTCACATTAACCATATAAAATTTTTTTAAATTATATAGATGTAGCACCCTCCTAGGGTGTCAGGGATCCGGGTATGACCAGAAATGTGTGGGAGCACAGGCGTGGTCAGGGCTGGAGAGGTGGCTTGGTCAGGCAGGCCGTATGGGTCTGTAATGCACCGTCTGGCGGTAGCTAGCTCTAACAACCCATGGAATAGGATTCCCCAGAGTGCGGAGCCTAAGTCCCAGTCTGCTTGTTCACCAGGGCCCCTGATGGTGGGGATGGACTTGGAGCAGACAGAGACCAGGTCGCGGCCCCTGAGTATACCCACCTGTGGTAGAGGGATCCGCCAGAGGTATATTCTGGAGAGAGCCTGATGTGAAGAGGCGGATGGGTCCGTGCAGGACGGATGGATGGATGGCTGAGCAGAAGCGTAGCCAGACAGGCCGGGTCGGTAACGGTGGGGATAGCGCGGTACAAGGAAGCAGGCACGGAATAGTTGGGGCACTCGCCGGGTCAGTAACAGGAGATCAGATCCAATGAGGGCATCCAAGAGAAGTCAGACAGGCCAGAGATCAGGGCAGGAGAAGTCAGCAGAGGTCAGGATCAAAGCAGGGTCAGCAACAAATCAGATAGGCAGATATGCAGGAATACAGGATACCAGGTACAGGGGATAATGGGAAACAAACACCAAGGCACTGACTGCAGGTCTGGTCATTGCTTAAATACACCTCCTGCAATCAGCCTCAGGTGATGGCTTGATTGCAGGAGTGAGATTCCAGCTGCTGAGAGCACCCGCTGGCCAGCACTGGTACTGCAGCCCACAAGGCAGGTGAGCCCCAGCACCACCTGTGCTGAGCCCATTCCTGACAGGCTGATAGGCAAATTTAATTCTTGGTGGTTCTCCTGTAATCAACAGAGCTGTGTGTAATTGCTTTAGGCTGCTCTGTGTTCTGCAGGCTGCAAGTTTGACTGCTTCCTCCTGTTTTCTGGAAATTTCCGCAGGATAGTGGGTTGGAGAGTCAAATGAGCCTCCTAAATATTTATGCAGCTCCAGCCAATCCCTTGGGAGGAGTGCTCAGATGGTAATTGGGGAGTGTATAAATAGTCTAGAACACCAGAAGGCAAGGTTCTTTTCCCTGGAGGAGAAGCTCCCAGCTAGGAGGGCTGCCAGCTCTTTCTGGCCATCCTGTTGATCATCCAGCCTGTTCTTTGAGGCCCCAGCTATGCTCAGCTGAAGTGCCTATTCTTATGCAAGTTCCTGGGGAGCCAAAAAGAGGGGCGCCACTGAGGATCTTACCTGAGAACTTTCCAGAGGAGTCTGCCTCCTGAAGTCTGAAGGAGACATCCAAGCCCCGAGGACCATGTGAGTACAGACCAGAGGGAGAAAGAGTCTGGTGAATGTTGCTACCGTTAATCTCTGCCACATACAGTGAAAGTGTTACTAAACCCAGGACCCTGCTTTCACTATATCTGGTCTCCCCAGACCCTGCATTCACTATATCTGGTCTCCCTGGACCCTGCATTCACTATATCTGTCTCCCCAGACCCTGCATTCACTATATCTGGTCTCCCACAGTGAACACTACATAGAAATGCAATTATTTTAGTAAATATAAACTGGTAGCCTCCCTAGCTGTCTGATTATGTCCATATTTCTGTGCTCAAAGCTGTACATTTTTTTCATGGAAATGTGTAGTTTTTTTTTATTGTAGGCCTGTAATTTTTAGGAATAACTCACTGAAATCTGTCCGAACAAGAGTCTAGTAAACATTCTGGGTATGTTTACAATTTGAAACACGAAATCATAAATTATAATTTAATAAATAACCATAAAAAATAATAATATAATAATAATAAATTTAATTCAATAATATAATCAAACCAAAAACACTGAAATTTGAAATATAGCGCCAAGTTCGCACATCACTGAGCAAAGTCGCAAAATCGTTTTCAGTGTCTGATGACGAATTTCCCCCACAAATCATTATCACTCAATTCTGCAAGTGGTTCTGATTTACTATCGCTGTTCTCTAGCCGGTCTAAAACCGATTTTACCTAAAGGGACGCTTTTTGGATGCCATGGACATTTCTCAGTTTCCAGGCAGAAAGAACAGTAAAATGCAGGCAGGGCACAGGACAAAGCACTCGGGACAAAATGTATGTGAAATGGTTTGATACAGTAATGTTTTACTATGTGATTTTAGTGTATTTAGTGAATGTCACTTTTTGACATTTTTAAATTTCCCGCCAGTTCTGTCCCCCGTACGTCCCAACGTCGCATTGAACGGAACCCCGAAGACGGATGGCGGCATCGGTCGGAGGATATCGCGGGAGAACAGGACAAGGTAAGTGATTGAGGGATCCCGGAGCAACGCATAGTATTCCTGAGTGTAGCTCGGGGTTACCGCTTGTGGTGCTGAAACTTTACCCCGAGCTACACCCGGGAATACCTCCAGGGAGGTTAAATACCTTTTCTCATCAGCAGTTGGTGCAGTCTTGTGACTTCTATCAGTGTTCAGCAGAGCACTGGTTAAAGCTTGTAGGAGGCATTTTCTTTCTGCTCTAGGAGGATGCAGAACCGCTGACCTCTGTCTGGACAGTGCTGATTGGCCCTGTGCTGATCACATGTACTCTCTCCCACAAATAAAATTTTTTTTTATAGCAATACACACTAAACTCAGCATGTGCAGAGTGTCTCCACATGATATTTCTTACCAGGAGATAAGAGGGGAAAACTGCAAGAAGGGGAGGATCAGAGAAGTCAGGAACAAACAGCATTGTTACACAGTGCAAAGAATTAACACTTTAGGTTCCACAGTAAGTATAACAAGCATGCTTTACTGCATATACAGACTGATTTTACTGTTGTGGGTTTAGTAACACTTTAAGGCCTGCCTGGCCTGGGACATTACTAATGGTATACCAGTGCTGTTTACTTCATGTCCTAATACTCAGAGGACTGTGTTAAGAAGCTGCTGCTTTAGTGTCCCGGAGTATGCCAAAAGCTCCCTGTTCCAAGCTGATCTGCAGTAATCTTTTAATAAAGCAACCCTTAGACTGTATCTTGAGCTACTGGAATGAAAGTTGCTGTTTGCCTGGCTGTGTTGCACTAGTGAGAAGAGAACCTGGGGCACAAATCAGCACCATAGCACTACATAAATATATATTACCCACCATACAGTGAAAATGCCCAAAAAGACAGGCCAGTGCACTTTTAAAGTCCACACAAAAGTCCTCATAAAACAGGGGTGGACTGACAACTCATGGGGCCCCCGGGCACTTTAGGGGATCATGGGACCCCCTGTGTCCTTGCCCAAACTAAAAAAGCCTATGAAAAAGGTACCAGGGGCATCTCATGGGGCCCCCTACTAACCCCGGCCTCGGGCAGTGCCCGAGTTTCCAAATGGTCAGTCCGCCCCTGCCTCATAATTAAGAAATTTGCACCATCTTGTCTAAGGTGAACTACAGATATCCTTCAAACACTCCCCATGTTTTATCACCACATATTAGCCTTTATCAGCACGGGCCCCAAATGATAAGAGGTCAATGGCACTTAAACAGAGAATGAACCCAACAGACAAGAGCACATATCCTTGTCAAAATCTCCAGTTTTCCAACTCATTAGCTCCTGGCCGGTATCAATGACTCCAAATATTAGATGCTATAAACCCTTGGTGGTTCACAGCCCCCAATGTATATTCAAATGCTGCCCGAAAAAGAAATGGAAGAACCATAGAGCATTACCGTAATGAAATCCATTATTTAGTAAATGTATTATACTTACAATGGAAAGAAGATATACAGCATACAGCAACGTGGAAAACAACTTAGCTTGTCACCAAAAGAGCACGTATGCGTGATGACGTCAGCACTAAAGCCCAACTTACACGTTTCGTCCTTATAGACAGCCTCAGAGAATGGGAGTAAGTAGTGCACTGCCCTAGGCTGGGTACATTTAGTTTTGGCTCTGCTGTTTTCAGGTCAGCAGCAATTTATTTTCCAGGTCTGGTCAGATCTATCCCTAAACCTGGTGGTTGATTGCTCCTGCTGTCTCTGGAAAAAGCTCCTAGAAAATGATTAGGAATATTGATCAGTGGTTTATAGAATACTTATCTAACCTCAGCCGATCCCTGGGAGACTGACCCAGAAGGTATGGCTGAGGAGAAAAAAATTGTTTGGGAGGGTCTTATCAGTCTCTCTTTTCTCTTGGGGCCTTTTCTCATCTCTAATTTAACCAAAGATTCAATTGATTTGATATGATATTCATAGGGCATAATACTATAAACTGTTGATCCAGGGGAGTATTCCATTCCTTTGGGAATAAGGAAGGAATATTTCAAATGAACCATGCTATATAATGAACCATGCTATAAAATAGATCCATGCTATATAATGAACCATGCTTTTATAATGGATCCATGCTATATAATGAACCATGCTATATAATAGATCCATGCTATATAATGAACCATGCTTTATAATGGACCATGCTATATAATAACTGAAACCTTCTTTATAATGGACCCATGCTATATAATGAACCTTCTTTATAATGGATCCATGCTATATAATGAACCTTCTTTATAATGGATCCATGCTATATAATGAACCATGCTTTATAATGGATCATGCTATATAATGGCTATATAAATTAACCTTCTTTATAATGGACCCATGCTATTAATGAAGCATGCTTTATAATGGATCCATGCTATATAATGAACCATGCTTTATAATGTATCCATACTATATAATGAACCTTCTTTATAATGGACCCATGCTATATAATGAACCTTCTTTATAATGGACCCATGCTATATAATGAACCATGCTTTATAATGGATCCATGCTATATAATGAACCATGCTTTATAATGGATCCATGCTATATAATGAACCATGCTTTATAATGGATCCATGCTATATAATAAACCTTCTTTATAATGGATCCATGCTATATAATGAACCTTCTTTATAAATGGATCCATGCTATATAATGAACATTCTTTATAATGGACCCATGCTATATAATGAACCTTCTTTATAATGGATCCATGCTTTATAATGAACCATGCTTTATAATGGATCCATGCTATATAATGAACCTTCTTTATAATGGACCCATGCTATATAATGAACCATGCTTTATAATGGATCCATGCTATATAATGAACCTTCTTTATAATGGACCCATGCTATATAATGAACCATGCTTTATAATGGATCCATACTATATAATGAACCACGCTTTATAATTGATCCATGCTATATAATGAACCTTCTTTATAATGGATCCATGCTATATAATGAACCTTCTTTATAATGGATCCATACTATATAATGAACCATGCTTTATAATGGATCCATACTATTTAATGAACCATGCTTTATAATGGATCCATGCTATATAATGAACCTTCTTTATAATTGACCCATGCTATATAATGAACCTTCTTTTTAATGGATCCATGCTATATAATGAACCTTCTTTATAATGGACCCATACTGTATAATGAACCATGCTTTATAATGGATCCATGCTATATAATGAACACGCTTTATAATAGATCCATGCTATATAATGAACCTTCTTTATAATGGACCCATGCTATATAATGAACCATGCTTTATAATGGATCCATGCTATATAATGAACCTTCTTTATAATGGACCCATGCTATATAATGAACCATGCTTTATAATGGATCCATGCTATATATAATGAACCTTCTTTATAATGGACCCATGCTTTATTAATGAACCATGCTTTATAATGGATCCATACTATATAATGAACCTTCTTTATAATGGATCCATGCTATATAATGAAGCTTCTTTATAATGGATCCATACTATATAATGAACCATGCTTTATAATGGAACCATGCTATATAATGAACCATGCTTTATAATGGATCCATACTATATAATGAACCTTCTTTATAATGGATCCATGCTATATAATGAACCTTCTTTATAATGGATCCATGCTATATAATGAACCTTCGTTATAATGGATCCATGCTATATAATGAACCTTCTTTATAATGGACCCATGCTATATAATGAACCATGCTTTATAATGGATCCATGCTATATATAATGAACCTTCTTTATAATGGACCCATGCTATATAATGAACCATGCTTTATAATGGATCCATGCTATATAATGAACCTTCTTTATAATGGATCCATACTATATAATGAACTACGCTTTATAATGGATCCATGCTATATATGAACCTTCTTTATAATGGATCCATGCTATATAATGAACCTTCTTTATAATGGATCCATACTATATAATGAACCATGCTTTATAATGGATCCATAATATTTAATGAACCATGCTTTATAATGGATCCATGCTATATAATGAACCTTCTTTATAATTGACCCATGCTATTTAATGAACCTTCTTTATAATGGACCCATGCTATATAATGAACCTTCTTTTTAATGGATCCATGCTATTTAATGAACCTTCTTTATAATGGATCCATGCTATATAATGAACCTTCTTTATAATGGACCCATACTGTATAATGAACCATGCTTTATAATGGATCCATACTATATAATGAACCACGCTTTATAATAGATCCATGCTATATAATGAACCTTCTTTATAATGGATCCATGCTATATAATGAACCTTCTTTATAATGGATCCATACTATATAATGAACCATGCTTTATAATGGATCCATACTATTTAATGAACCATGCTTTATAATGGATCCATGCTATATAATTAACCTTCTTTATAATTGACCCATGCTATATAATGAACCTTCTTTTTAATGGATCCATGCTATATAATGAACCTTCTTTATAATGGACCCATACTGTATAATGAACCATGCTTTATAATGGATCCATACTATATAATGAACCACGCTTTATAATAGATCCATGCTATATAATGAACCATGCTTTATAATGGATCCATGCTATATAATGAAGCTTCTTTATAATGGATCCATACTATATAATGAACCTTGCTTTATAATGGAACCATGCTATATAATGAACCATGCTTTATAATGGATCCATACTATATAATGAACCTTCTTTATAATGGATCCATGCTATATAATGAACCTTCTTTATAATGGACCCATGCTATATAATGAACCATGCTTTATAATGGATCCATGCTATATAATGAACCTTCTTTATAATGGACCCATGCTATATAATGAACCATGCTTTATAATGGATCCATGCTATATAATGAACCTTCTTTATAATGGATCCATACTATATAATGAACTACGCTTTATAATTGATCCATGCTATATAATGAACCTTCTTTATAATGGATCCATGCTATATAATGAATGTTCTTTATAATGGATCCATGCTATATAATGAACCATGCTTTATAATGGATCCATGCTATATATTGAACCTTCTTTATAATGGATCCATGCTATATAATGAACCATGCTTTATAATGGATCCATGCTATATATTGAACCTTCTTTATAATGGACCCATGCTATATAATGAACCTTCTTTATAATGGACCCATGCTATATAATGAACCTTCTTTATAATGGATCCATGCTATATAATGAACCATGCTTTGTAATGGATCCATGCTATATAATGAACCTTCTTTTATAATGGATCCATGCTATATATTGAACCTTCTTTATAATGGATCCATGCTATATATTGAACCTTCTTTATAATGGATCCATGCTATATATTGAACCTTCTTTATAATGGATCCATGCTATATATTGAACCTTCTTTATAATGGATCCATGCTATATAATGAACCTTCTTTATAATGGATCCATGCTATATAATGAACCTTCTTTATAATGGATCCATGCTATATAATGAACCTTCTTTATAATGGATC